ACACTAAGCGCATGGATACACTTTCCAAAATAATGGCAGGGTGTGTGTGAACCACAGCATGCGTCTTCACCTATTGTCATTATGATAAAGAAAGAGCAGAGAAGGACAGAGAAAAACATCTGCTAATACATTTAGAAAACATTAAGCGATGAAGAACTTGACCTGCCGCTTCTGCTGCTTCCTCCACTCAAACTAGATGAATCAAAAACTAGTCAAAAGTCATTGAAGGAAGCCGTAAATTAATCCCGATATGCTGTTTTGTTGATGTCAGAACATCACTTTGTATCAGTGCATTCAGATAAATGGCTTGAGCTGCATTGTAAACCTCATACATTCACAAACAAACCACATTTCAGTCTGACTGCAAGGGTTGTATTCATTTAAAACATTTTTTTTTGTGGCCGCAGAAATTCACTGGGGAAAAAAGTACACTGAAAACATAATAGTGAACTGATCTATTTAGAAGAAATTGTCGGGAGAAAACCTTTAGAAGCGACACTTGTAAAAGCCTTTACGCCTCTAATTTATTCTCTGCGTGATGATTTTGTCCTCTGGAGTCAAAATAATTAACTGTTTTCATTTCCAAATTGTCCAGTGCATTCATATCCATGTATTTCAATAACAATTTTTTGGGATTATCACACACAATATCTCCCTGTCTAATATTCCCACTCCTCAGCCCAGACCCTCTCTCTCTCACACAAACACTGAATACTGTCTGTATTCTGCGGATGTTTCTTTATTTTTACTCTATTACAACGGAGCATTACATCTAATAAAATCTATCGCGGTATAGATGAATTCAAAAACACCTTTAAGGGCGTAGGTCTATTATTCTCCATTACTCAAATTTGTATCGAGCTCTGTCTCTCTAAATATTACCTGGTTTCTGAATAAGTCATGCAATTCGGCAAATAGAGGGAAATGTTCCCTCAACGAATGTACTAAGTAACAAGTTGAGTGCACTTGCGAGTACTTTGCAGCAATATATCTATGTATATATATATATATATATATATATATACATATATTATATATTTTAAGTCACCTGCATACACCCCCATGCTTGTGTGTCCTAAACATTATCGTGTTAGCACTGATGTTGTGAGCATGTATTGGTGTTGTCCGATATATGCTCAAAACATCACTGCATTGTTAGATATCTCAGGCTGTGAGCTAATTTGTCACAAAAGACAGCAGTTGCATGAAAACCTCTGTGTGTAGGTTTTTGAATTTAGAGCCTGTACCTCCACTCTGCACTGGTCCTCAGCTGATTCTGTCGTTCCCAATCACGTGCCAGCGTACCTTGTCCCTAATTCACCTCAATTAGCCAACTAGTTTAGGCTCCCGGACACTAGAGTCCTCTGACTGATATTGCTGTGCCATCATAGAGTTAAGGCCCAATCAATTAACTGCTATGAGAAGGGCATCCCTAATTTCTTTTTCACTTTGTATCAATATCTCCTATCAACTTTCCCCCGTGAACAAGCTTACACAATACTCTTATTATCATCTACATACATCAAATCGTCATGCTGCATACGCAAGAAAAGTAAGAAAACATGTTCCTGAGCTACATGGGAGGATAAAAAAATAAAAAATAAAAAAATAATCCTTTGAAGAAAATAATGTAGCTTTCTGCACGTGAATTTTGAATTTGGCCTGTCATAAATAGATACTGATTATACCTTGATAACTTTGAATATTATAAAACCTTCAGTACACACATTTATATCTAATAGCCTGTCGGGAACATTTTTTTAATTACAAAAATGGGATTAACTTTGTAAGAAACAAAGTTGCCTTCATCTACAACAAACTAAAGAGTCTCTACACTGTTCTTTCTCCCAAATGACTGAGCACTTTCACAGGAACTGGAGTGCAACTTGTACTTCCCCGAGCCGCATACCACAGCCTGCACGCACAAGCATGCACAAACACACCTGACCTGACTTATTTTACAGCTGCACTCATTGTCGCACTGGCAAATCACATCAAATGAATATCACAAAGGAACTGTCCTCTGAGCCTCAATAGAAAGACTGATTTACTGAGCTTCTCAATTGACTTGACAGGTGTATTAGCTCAAAGTCGTCTTGGTAGTTGGGGCTGTAATACAGCTCTAAATCAGCACTGTGTTAATGACTAACTCTCGCAGGCCTCTTGGCTATCAAAACCGACTGCATGCTGGTAATACACATCTTCAGAGGTTGCAGCAAGCGACATGAGACATGCTGCTTTTTCATAAACAACACCTTCATAAAACAGCACGTCCGTCACACAATAGAGAATCCATACCCATATTTCACTCTGAATCTACACACTGTGAAAGGACAGAAACTATTTAACTGACTGTAGACGATTGAATTCCTACTGCTGCAATGATTTGTTGATTAATCAGTTAGTCAATTGAAAGAAAAAAGAAAACATTGTTGAATGTTTTAATACTTTCTTCCTTGTATGTATCGTTTTTTAAGTTGTCACACATATTTCAGTTGGAAATAGTCAAATGTGAAAGATTTACTAATTTATTTTATCATATGACAGTAAATAGAAAATATGCAGGTTTTGGACTGTAAAAAAAAGAAATTATAAGACGTCCCAGTGGGCTCTGAGTAAATTACATTTCATAGACTAAACAGATTGTCAAAACAATGGTCTTAAATAATGTGAATAATTGTTGGTTGAATCTACTTGACAGCAAGAGGAATTGTGCCAGAGCTCATCAGTCAGGTCAACAAAAACACACCCAATAAATAGAAGAAGATGACGAACAAAATAAACAAATATGATACAAATACAATGTAAAAATACAATACAAATATCCAAAACTATGCAAATATTTTCACTGCTGTAATAAGTTTAAGACATATAGTAGCATGCTTACTTCACAAGTATAAAACACAACAAAAACAAAACATAAGAGAACGCCAATGATCATTTTGAAGTAAAGGCTGACGAGGTCGTCCATAGATGCTCACAATAACATGCAAAGAGCGCGGCAAACAGCCCTCATGGTGGGCGTGTGTGAACCTGCTCAGTCCCTCTTTCCAATGAATTCTCCTGGGTACTTAATACACCAAAGAGCTCAGTGGCTCTATGGGATGTTGCCACGTTGCTTTGTCCACATAACAGGCTACTTAACGAAACATATCGTACAGTTAGAAAATTTCTATTTCTATTTCTATTTCTGTCTCTGTCTCTCTTCTGACTGTCCACAGAGACTCAGCTGCAGCAAATCATTCATTCTCACATGCAGTAATGTTCTGTGCTGTGGGAGCTCATGTCGATCTTAAAGTGCACTAAAACAAAGTGCGTGTGGTTGAGTGAGTTTTGCACAAGGACCCTATACAGCAAGTCACTGAACCAATAAAAATGCAAGAGGCATGACATACATTTTCTGCACTTGTCTCACAGCATAACGTAGGAGGAAGATGTCTTTTTAGAGATGTTGTAAATATACTAATAACTCTCCGGCTCTGCCCAAAGCTCCCCGACGTTTGACACCGTCGGCCGCTTATAGACTCGGATTATGGGTCTCTATTTGCAGCGGATGCAGTCAGGGTAATTATCAGGGAGATCCAGACAATATGGCTGCTACTTTAAATGATTTAAAAAATGCTCACTTAGTTGGAAAAGTTTTCATTGTTGCAAATGTGCGATTTTCTCCACCAGCCTTTGCAGCTTCTGTTGTCACAGTGCTCCAAAACTGTTAAATCGATAAAGATGGAGACTTCCTCTATTTAATGTACAAATCCCCAAAGGAGCCAAAAGTAATGATGGCTGAGTTTGCATGAGCTCATGCTCTTGGAGGAAGAGGGAAAAAGAGAAGCTTTAATGACTGCTGAATGACTGTCCCAGTTAGGATGAATACAACATTTGGGGAATAAATAGATGAGCAGATATACGGTAGATATGAAGCTAAAGCTGGCAGTTAGCACACCAGCACATTTCATTCACAATAATTAAAACGTTATATATTGTTTGTTAAACCTGTACAAAGCCAAAGTGTAAAAAAAGCAAGTTGTGTTTTGACAGAGGGTTACGTGGGACTATTTATGTGCCAGATGCCGTCATTACCGAGATATCACATGTCCATAATTATCTTCATGGATTACAATTTTCTAAAGTGAAACGTCACTGTTGAAATGTTCCCAGACCATGCTGATGTTTTTAAGCACAAATCTCGCATGAAATGATCTTTCCTGTCGGAGTAATCAAAGAAGTTGATACGTGTGGTTTTGTGCTCAGTCACCTGAACAAAGCTCCGCCCTGCGGGTGCCTATAGGTGCCAAGCTGAAATGGACACCTGCCTCCATGAGGAATGTTTATCCGAGCTTAGCACAGAGCCTTTATGCTCAAAGCAGCGGTGTTTTTTGTTTGCACTTCCCTTTCTGCACCACGTCCAGCTCTGTGCCTTTTCTGACTGGGACCTGCACAAAATGAACCCTCTGTGATGACAAAAATAGTTATCTTAAAGACACAGAAGGGAAACAAATGAACTGTGTGTGTGTGATCAAGTGAAAAGGAACTGTGTGTGTGTGGGGGGGGGGGGGGGGGGAAAAAGCTTGAGGGAATTTTGTGAAAAGCCTTCCCCAGACTTCCAAAAAGAGGGGACATTGTGTATATAAAATAAACAAAAAATTCACAATAAACCCGGAAAAAGCCTCCCACCGGCGTGGGAACCGAATAAAAACGTGGAGTTATGGGTATTGTAGGGCATATATTGTTTTAATATTCCCAAGTAGGCAGATGAGAGCATTCTGACATGAGATTGCATTTTATTTTAAAATAGTGTTGTGTCTTGTGAGGGATATGGAAAGCTAAGAGGCAGCCGTGGAAGGAGGAGCTGTGATACACGAGTGACTTCTTAATGCATCTCTACGTCTCTGATCATCTCTCCAATTCTTCTAGAGGAACAACGACAGCGGCAGTCTCAGCCCTCATCCCAATGACCTTCCTCCGAGTCCACACAATGACAGCGCTTCCGATAAAGTTATTGATAGTGAATATGTCCATTCCTCCGTAGAGCCGGTGAGCCTGGGAACAGTAAACAAAATTGAGGAAGTGTTTGTTTGCCCGTTATGAATTCAACTTAACAGATGTTTCACTTTCACACAGGAGACCAACAACACATCTGTCCACTCTGGTGACCTTGGGAACGAAATCGATTACGTAAGTTTATTCTGTTTCCGTAATGATATTCAGTTCAGTCCACAGAATGTTGAAGCACAAGTACATCTTTATGGCTGCTGGGTTTGAATTTGTCTTAAGACGAGAAGGCCTTAAGATCAGGTAACGACCGGCGGGAGCGTCCCAGCTACTGTCTTTGCATAATGACTACAAATGAATCAGACCTTGCGTTGGTGCCTTCTGGCTGAAAGAAAAGCAAACTGCGACTGACCTGTCAGAAAGGTGACTGTACTCTGTTGTTAATAAATACGTGATGAGGTGTGACTGGAATAGCCTTTCAGGATTAAGCTTCCGCGACACGGAAACAGCGTTATTCTCAAAGTATCTGAAAGTTGAAGAGCAACTTTTTGTCATATTATTTTGTCACAGTTACAAGAAAACAAAAACAACTGATTAATAAGAACAATCTCCAACGTTATTTGGTTTAATTTCCCTCGAAATACTCCACATGTGTTGAATGAAGTTTTTTTAAAATAAAACATATTGTTGCTTTGTTTCAATCAATACATATTTTCTTGTGTTTAGAAATGCCTCAGTGATGGGGACTGTGTGAAGGGAACTTATTGCCTCAATAACACGCACAAGTCCAAGTGTGTCCCTTGTAAAGCAATCGACATGGTGAGTGAACCACCGAGTCCCTTTTTTCATGGCGGCCGGCACCGTTTTGGTCAGTTTTCTCTGTGATGTACCGTTGCTTTCAAATGAAAACTCACACATGGTCCCTTCCGGCCAGCTGGGGTTTCACCTCGACCGCATTGCAGCGAGTCCACAAGTGTAACCGGAGCGTGTTGTTTGTGCTATGAGCTTTCACGTGAAAGAACATCATGTGTCAAGGTTAAATAAGAGCCCGTCCTTTCCCCACTGTCATCCATTCCCCTCTCAAAGGACGCCCAGAATAAAATGAGCATTAGTAATGAGAGTCCTCCAATTATAGACTCAGCCATCGGGTTTACTTAAGACGGCGTTATTTCTGCCGATCTTGTCGCGTCATCGTTAGATGAATGGGTCTTTGTTTGGCAGAGTAAAAAGCAACGCAACGGGATGAAGGTAATGGCAGGCTGCCAAACAAGTGGAACGATGTACGTGGATAATAAATACACAGAGGACAGCATCTGTGCCTCCTCAAAATGTCTGCAATCGTAAAAACCGGAAATAGCAGGGAAATATGCAGAAACGCTGCTGCCCGTATCCTCTAACTAACAACTCATGCAGGGTGTGCAGGAACCTGTCACTTTGCCATCAGAGACCAGTTGACCTGCTGATCTCACTTATAATTAACGAAAAAAGGAAAACATCCGTAGACGTCACAGTTAGAGAATAGTTAACGCCGTTATTGCTCAGGTGAGTTTCAGCCTTTTTGATCTGAACGTTTCTGCTCCTTTTAGGACACGTGTGTTACTAAAAGCCTTTGCTTTGGATTAAAGATTAACCTTTGCTGACATGTGTTTTCATTATTTCAGTCCTGCACTAAGGACAATGAGTGCTGCGGTGAACAGCTGTGCGTGTGGGGTCAGTGCAGTCTAAATGCAACCAAAGGAGCGGCTGGCAGCACTTGTCAATACCAGGCGGATTGCAGCCCGGACCTTTGCTGTCTCTTCCATAAAGGTACAGTACAAAGCCGAGTCCAGCGCGGTTCTTATCGGTTCTCTACCTCTTAAACACGTCTGTGGGGTTTGTCTGTGTATTCAGCCCTGTTCTTCCCCGTGTGCTCGGCCAAACCCATCGAGCGCGAGCGCTGCTTTGGGGCCTCCAACCACCTGCTGGAGCTGCTGTCCTGGGACACTCAGGACGAGGGACCCAGCAAACATTGCCCCTGCGCAGGAGATCTCCACTGTCAGCACCTCGGGTGAGTGCAGTACATTCCAAAGCAAAGAATCCTATTAATGCTTCACGGGCACGTCAGCGGCTAACTTTCACACCAATGCTCCATTGCTGTGCTTGTGGAACAGTCGAGGGTCCATGTGCCTTAAAGGAGAGGACTCGAGTGAAGAGGACCAGATGGACAGCCTGTACTCCGAGATAGACTACATCATATAGACGCAGACGGATTTCGTGTGCACGGACTCCACTTCTATAGCGCTTTCTGCTTGCCAGTGTAATTCAAAGAGGTAAAGTTACACCGCATGGAAAAAATAAGGAGAATAGATTCATTTTGTCCGCTGTATCGAGACCTGACGGGAAACACTATATTTACAAAGGCCTGTTATCATAGTAAATAACACTATACTACATGCTGCAGCTCTAACCCTTTGTTTATCCCAGCCGCACAACCCACCCTAACACACTGAATCTCTCGTTGACTACACGCGGTTTAAACTTGTTGCGTCCCGTGTCACATTGATCATCAGCTGAAGACAACTATGTAGCAGCGCTGCGTCATCCTGATAAAGTGAAGCCAGAATAGAACCAGGGGAACACCCAGTTTGCAGTCCCACTGCAGTACTTTATGCACAAGGAAGAAAAAAGAAACCTGATGCCAGACTCATTGATCATGCTGAATTCACTGCATGTTCAATGAAACACTATCCCAGAGGCGGGTAACCATGGATTATTCTTTACCTTTCCACCCTCCCCAACATTACACCTGTATTCATCCACAGGAAACCCTACCATGACAAAGAATCATGTTAACATATACATAGCTGCTACTATCTTGGAAGCCAATTAAAATGTTAAATGTCTGATAAAAGCTCAACATTTATTTGAAGAGTAAATCTACTGTAGATGCTTTAATATCCTAAAGTTGAGTATCAAAGCTTTTCCTTGTTATTCCCCCAAAAATGTTTTGGTGCAATCCTTTCTTGATCCCAGCTGTATAAGCTCCGCTGCTGCTTCCTTTCACAGAATATGGACGTTTTTGCAAAGACCTCAATGTTTTTATGCCTCAAAGATGAAAGGTTGTTTGCACAAGAAGCTGAAACGCTGTCCAACATCACTTATTCCACTAAAATGATTTCAATTCATATTATTCTGTTGATTATACAAACATGTTCAACAAAGTCCAAATCAGTAACTATAAATTATTTTATAGCATTTATACAAGCATTTGTAGTTCTAGTATTCTAGTGATATTTACATTGTCCTTGTGTACTCTGTCGGTGACTCATAATTTAAAAATGACCACATGAAGGTGTGATGTGAATATAAGCAGTAATAGATGTATGTGTGAATATAGCTTGTGATGGTGTTTGATAGATAAAGCTGTTAATTAAACCTCTGCTTGTGCAACTCCTACGATCAGGAAAATAATTGTTTCTGTGACACCAGAACCCCCTTTTCTCAAACAGGGCAGAAGGATTTGGGAGTTAAATTAAGCCATTTCACTTTACAGTGACAGAAAACTGCAGTTATGAAAGAAAAGCATTTTAATTACTAAAATCATCTTTTACCATCTCCACACAGGATTTAAATCTCAAAGAAATACACATTAACATCAATAAAAAGAAAACAAGAAAAGGTATTGCCATTTCTACAGTGAATAGCTGGTGGCAGCGTCGGCATCCCAGAGGGGCCGGGATGCCGAGCCTCAGTCTTTACATCAGTCGCCCGGGCAGACTAAGGAGTCCACTGGGCTTTATAGATCCTCTGGTGACAGTCTATCAAGCAGCAGCAGGTAGAAGCGCCATAAACAAACTCAGGCTCTCTTCCAAAATCCCAGAGAGAGCTTCCACCCCGTAGTACGACACACACACACACACACACACACATAAATGACACAAGAGATGTACACCCACCCAAAAATAGAAGAAAAACAAAGAAATCCAATTTCTAAATTAAAGGGAAATGCAGAGAACAGATGCACGCCTGGTGCCCCGCAAGACCTCGATGGATTGTTGCATTTGGAGCAAAACAATAATTTACAAGAAATCAAAACAATGCAAGAGCATTCTTAACATCTGTTGTTTCATTGTACTTTGTTTTACAGGACCACCATTAGCCATGTACCATTACATCTAGTGGAAGTGATGTAGCAAAGATAAAGCCCCCATTAAGCAACAAGAGCAGCAGTAAGGAAAACTCATCCCATCAGCGGAGTAGAAAGTTATCAACTGTTGCTTTTTGGAGGAATAAAATCCTGCAAATAAAATTGTCAAAGTCACTGAGAGAATGAGGTTGGCCTCACAAGAGGCTGAGGAAGGCTGGATAAGAAGCTCTTGTTTGTGTGTGCTGTTGGCTTTTACATTGTTCGAATGGAAGGTAGGCAATGTAGGATTAAAATAATGTCTATATTAGAGCATCGCTCATAGAGTGTGAGCACATGGGTTTACAATACGGTCACAGATGAATCTGCATCAACATTGTTCCTGAAACGTGAGGAGAAATGCAGTAAGCGGGAAAGAGACTTCAATAGACAGGATGGATGCTTTCTAGCCAATTTCACAGTCCTAACATCTCTGCATCCATCTCGGGAGCTATTTACGATCAATTGATTTGTCTATACAGTCTTTTTTATCCGTATTCAATAGCTTTTGTACTTCCCTTTAACCTTTACAGTACAATACACTATAGTGCACAACAGGGTTTCGGAGCCGGTCATTGGGCTCAGGGTGGAGCACGAGAGACACTGCTTGATGTTAAAGTCCCCGTCCAGGCTTGACACTCACACCGAGACCCGTAGCCTGGATGCTCCGCTGCAGCAGCCACGCGATCCAGATAGCGAGGAGCGGCGCTCAGCAACTCAGTCCTGCCCCAGGTCCTTGGCCGGGCCTCCGTCCAGGTAGATCTTGAGGGCCTTCTCCTTGCGTGGCGAGTAGCTGACACGGTGTCCCGTCTTAAGCAGACGGCTGCTCTCCTTCTTCATCAGCTCACTGCGCTCCTCATCCGACAGCTCCATAGGGTCCTCCGTGCTGTCCCTGCACAAGGACCACAGTGATGTTCGTCTCAAGTCAGCGGAAGAAAATTGATCAGAAGCGCGTGTCCACAACTGAAATCTGGTACTCTAGCAGCATTTTATTGTCCATGTTATCGCTTGGCGCCATAGTCCTGTGTGTGTGTGTGTGTGTGTGTGTGTGTGTGAGGAATGTCATTGTTTTACCTGTAGAACACCACAGCTCCGTCGTCACAGATGTACAGAGGCCACACGTTAAGAGTCAACACCTTAGGGTTCCAGTCCAAATCCTGGTGGATCTCCAACACAGAAATATCACAAGGAAATGTTCCTCTACCCTGTACAGAGCAGAAAGGTGGATTCTCAGTCGATCGTTTAGAAACATTAGGAGAAAAACTGGGTGTCCTGTGTGAGGTATTTCACATACCTTTGCAAAGTCCAGGTTTTCAAGAGGAATATTGCTAATTTCGCTAAGCTGCAAATGGAAGAAAAAACACATGGCGGATGAATGGTACTTGGACCATTTGTCGATCGAGAAATGACAATGCTGTAATTGTACACACAGACACACCTTCTCCTTGAGTTCTTCTACACTGCTGCTCTCCAGAATAACCTCCTGGAAGGGCCCCAGCTTCATTGTAGCGGGGCTCCATCTCCGGGTGAGGACAGCCAGCTGGGACATGGACTTCTTCTCCGGTTCTGGGAAAACAGAGAGACCAGAGAGAGAAAGTATGTTACTTTTCCACCTGGAAAGAAAAATGCTCTGCACTCAGTTGTAATGCTGACTTATGTAGATTTGAAAAAGAACAACATTTTTGTGACATTTCCTTGAGTCTCAGAGTGAAAAGGTGACTTTTATTAACTGAATTAATCATTTTAGGTCTGTTGGGACAAAAAATAAATTGCGGTTGAAAGAAACAGCAGAATGAGTGTTACCATTGAGAACTTCCAGGAAAACTTCCCAGTTGGAGGAGATGCTGATGTCTTCTTCATAGACATGATAATCCAGAAACACTGTGCCTGGG